CTGTTCATTTTTAGGAAGACACCATTTAGATTTTGCACATAGCTGTGAAAGCAAAAACAGGATTTCTAATGCTGGGGATTGAAGAAGAGTTTTGCAACTCACACCCCAAAGGAGAAGTGTGGGCTTCTTCAGCTTCCCCCTGACAATGGAGATGAATGTCATCACACTGGTGACCAACGGGCCATGGGCAATAAAATAGATCTGCATCATGCTGGGAGAAGAGTGAGAGCATGAAAGGCTCCCAGCTTCCCTCCCTCCTCCACTGCCAAGGCACTGACTGGTGAAGGCTGGATGCTGGGGGGCCGGGCTTCCCTGAGGGAAATCAGCCAGCAGAGAGAGACAAGGGAGCACATCCTACAAGCAGGAAGTGTGGCCACAGCTCTGAAGGCAGTCTCCAGCTTGGACCATACATGCCAAGGGTCCCACACAGGCAGGAGGAGGTGTGTGGGGCAGTTGGTGCGAGCCTTCCCTCCTCACACTAGGCCCTTCCCACAATTCCTCACCTGCTGCCCTCTGTGGCCCAGCTTTCTGGCTAGGGATTTTGGCTGGAGGGCACATCTGGGAAGAGACTTTAAAGAGAGAGAGAGAAGGAAGAAGAGAGAGGGAAAAGAATAAAAACAGGGTGGGGGCATTGAAGTCCAAGGAGCAGGGAGAGTGGGGAGAAGGAAAGTGGGCCCAGAAGGATAGAAGTTGGGGACATTTCTGCAGACCTGACCCAGGTCCACGCTAAGCCTTCTGACCAGAACCAAGCAAATGCTTATATTCTCATGATAGCAGTGGTGCGAGAAGGCACCAGCAGACCTCCCTCAGACCTCTGGCTGTGGGGGTGTTATGGACCACTGTGCTTCGAGGTGGCACCCAGCACCAGGACGTCCCTTCCCAGGAAACATGGGGCTCTTCTGGTAATGACTTTGGCTCCATGACACCCAGTGGCCTTGCCCCAACTATCCCTCTGTCCAGCAGGGGACACAGTTACCTGATGGTCTGAAAGCTGTCCAAGCTCCCCATGCTTCCCAACTTCCTCGCAGGTCCCTGTGTATCTCGTCCCTTCCCAGCCTGGCTCTGCCTCTCTGAGAACCTGAAGTAGCAGAAACCCTAACTCTAGGCACTAGTGTTAGGTTTATTTGCCATCTGGGAACAGCAGGGCACAGAGAGCTACAGTGAATTGCCTCGAGTTTTGCAGCCAGTATGAGACCACACTGAAACTTGAACCCACCTGCGTACCCACCATCTGCTCTCAGTTACCCTTTCACACAGGGGATAATAGAGTCTGAAGCAAGTTCAGAGGTGAAGCCGCTGTCATGTGGCTACTATGGCCCAGATGCCCCAGAGTATGTATTAATCCAGTGAACATCAGCCCTCAGCAGTCTGGGACCTTGGATTCCCTTGGGTGGGGATGACATCTACCTGTGCCTTCCTGGAGTCACAGGGGCAGCTCACAGGTGTTAGGGTCAAGTCTATGCTCTTGGATGGCATCCCCCATGTTTCACCTGACACCAGCCATCCCCTGCCTGGCATCCATGTCTCCTGGGAAGCTGTATGCAGGATACCTTGGAGATTCTGAGCAGCTGCAGGCTTGCTGGCTTCCATGTGCATCTGGGGAAACTGTCTTGCTCCTCAAAGGGTCTCTGGCAAGGTCCCAGGAAGGGCTGGGGCCACATGCCTCCTGCTTCTCCTTCTCCTTTTGCATCACCAGGCCCAAATACCTCTTCACAGAAGCAGGTACTCACCAGTCACCCCCCAAAAGACTGTATCCTGCTGACCAGGAACAGCGCATGTCTGGGTTCTGGGAGGGCTTGGACGGCCCATTCTGCCCCAGCAGAGGTTCAGACTTGCATCTGCCTTGGTGTATGAAAGCCCTGCTCTTCTAGGAATCAGTCCTGGAAAGACCTGGAGGACAGGGAAGTAACAGTAGCTAGTATACAAAATGATGACTTGGATATGGGGATAGCAATGCACATAAACAAGGAGAGAAAAGAAGACAGAGGGAGGGTGCATCTCCAAAGGCGTCAAGCCCCCACCCGGAGCAGGTCCTTCAGATGGCAGCAGGCCCAAGGGTTGTTTGCTTGGCTTGTCTGGACTTCGAGGGCTGCTGGGTGGGTTTGCTTGCATGTCAGCCAGACCTTCTGAGCCCCCAGGATCACTGCTCTTTCAACCATCGCTGACCTTATCAGCTGGCTCGAGGTTGGGTTTTTACGGGGCTGCTTTCTTCCTCTTCTACAGACAGAAAATCCACACTTCCAAGTTATAAAGCCACTGCCACTGCCCTGTACCAACTTGCCTCACTTTCTGGCCCGTGTGTGTGTGTGGGCATGTGTACACATGAGTATGTGCATGCACACGTGTGTGTGTTGTATCTGCGGCTCTGTCTCTGCCCCACTCGCTCCTGGCTGCACAGTCCCCAGGACAGGAAGAGTGCTGACATCACGATGGTGACAGCAGGGTGAGGACCACCAGTCAGTGCTGGTGGGTCTTTTAAAGAGCTGACACAGAGAAAAGGTTGCCCCGCAAAGGTGAGCCCTGTGTCCTCTCTCGGGTGGTGGCCTCCGACTGCAGTGGCCAGAGGAGGAGTGGCCATGAGGTCTGGGCTGGGCTGTAGGAAGCTAGAACAGGAAATCGCGCTTTGCAGGAGGTGAGTGGGCAGTGCTGGGGAAGGGGAGGCCAGCCTCATGGACCCTGGAGGTAGTGCATCTGGCAGATGAGGGAGCTGTGAGTGACAGCAGGGAGGGGCTGTTTGGCAGAGGGTCAAGGGGTATGGGACAGTGGTGAGCAGGCCACTCTCAGGGCTGGCTATGGAGGGGGAGGGGGCAGGACCCAAGGGGCCCCTTCAGCCCCCTGTGTCCAGTGACTCTGTGGTTCCTCCTCCTTCTGTGCTGTGAGACCACACTTAGCACGCCAGCCTCTTCCTCACCAGGCTGAAAAATTTCCCACCTAGCTGGTTTCTAAGTCTGCCACCACAGTACCCACATTACCTAACACCTCTGCCTACCACCTTCCTCCTCTGACCTTGGACAACCCCCTGAGGCTCTGCCACCCTGGGGTGGGGGCACACACTCTCCATCTTTTCTCTCATTCCCTCTCTCCAGATCCACTCCATTTGGAATGTGTGCCAGGCCCTACGGGGCAGGAAAAGTCAGGGGATTTTCACCTAATATTTTTCTGGTTACTTTTCAAACACCTAAATTTCTCAGGCAATGGTAAAGAGGGAAGTTTCTGCTTTTCTTTCTGTCTAGAATCTAAGAAGATTCCTTGGGCAGGAGGAGGACATTGGGAATGTATAGACATTGGTCCCAGAGAGCAAGGCACAGTCCCTGCCTCCTGGCAGAGGCCTGGACATGCTGCAGGGTCTTTAATCATCTGGAGGCCTGGGGGCAAAAGGGATCTGTGCCCTGCTTCCTGGTCAGAGGCCTGGAAAGGAGCATACCCCTAGACAGGGAATGGATCTAGGCAGACAGGGCCATAACCAGCATAACCCGTGCTGGGTTGTGGTGCAGCACAGGGAATTCTGGGCCCACGGGTGGCACAGACAAGTGAGGACAGAAGTTGGATGGGAGGGCCAAGGCAGACCAGAAGGGGAGCCGGTCTACTTGCATGGCTCAGTGGCTGGTGTGTAGAGGGGAAGGTGGCTGTTTGGTGGGCACATGCATGGAGAGAAGGTATGAAGGCAAGGGCAGCTACTGGGTAGGATTGCAAGCAGCTGCAAGCAGCAGAAAATCCAGCTCCTGGTGGCGTGGACAGCTTTATGACTTCCACACTAGGGCAGCCCAAGTGCACACAACACTGTCAGTGTCACCCAGGCCACCAGCACCTCACACCTTCCTTCTTTATCATCCGTTTACTCTGAAAAGAAGGAGCAAGTTGTGGGTTTTGATTTAGGAAATGAATTTAGTTCACACAAATGATACACCCTTAAAAATGAATTAGGATTATAGAAGTACATTCTTCTTTAGTTATATTTAAATATAATTCACAAATATGAGCGAGCTAACTATAGCTACTTCTGTAACTTCAAGTTGCCTTCTACTCAGCCAAATGGCAACATTGTAGCAGTGGAAACTTAGTCACTATTTCTCCTCTTCCCCACCCTCCCACCGCCTGCCCAGCTTTATTGAGATATGATTTACATGTAACATTGTATACATTTAGGATGTACATCCTGGGGGTGCTTGGGTGGCTCAGTGGATTAAGTGTCTGCCTTTGGCTCAGGTCATGATCTCAGGGTATTGGGACTGAGCCCCTCATCAGGCTCCCTGTTCAGCTGGGAGTCTGCTTCTCCCTCTCCTTCTGGCACACCCCCTTTTCTGCTCTCTCTCCCTCCCTTCTCTCTCTCTCAAATAAAAAAGATCTTTATATTGGGGAAAAAGAATGTACAACTAGATGATTTGACACACATAGATATTGCAAATTGATTACCACAGTACCCATCATCGTACTTAATTATCTTGCTTTGTGTTTGGTGAGAAATGTTTAAGATCTCCTTTCTTGGCAAAGTCCAAGTATTGTTAACTGTGGTCACCATACTGCAATTAGATCCTCAGAACTTACTAGTCTTACAGCTAGAAGTTTGTATTCTTTCACTAATGTCTCTCCATTCCCCCTGCCTCCAGCCCCTGACAATCCCCATTCCACTCTGTTTCTATGAATTTGGCTTTTTTAGCTTTCACATATAAGCGAGATCATACAATATTGGTCTTTGTGTGTCTCATTAATTTTTTAAACATGGCGACCTCGAGTTTTGTTCATATCGTCTCAGGTGTCAGGATTTTCTTCTTTTTTATTGTTGAATAATATTCCATTAAATATATATATCACATCTTTTCTTATCCATTCATCCATCAGTGGACACCTAGTTTGTTTCCATATCTTGGCTGTTGTGAGTAATGAAATGAACGTGAAGGTGCAGATATCTGTTTAAGATAATGATTTTATTTCCTTCAGGTAAATACTCAGAAGTGGGATTGCTGGGTCATATGGTAGTTCTTTTTAAAATTTTTTTGTGGATTGCTTCTTGGCCTTTTGGCTAAGATCAAGTGTAAAATTTTTTTTTTTTGTGGAACCGCCATACTGTTTTCCATAGTGGCTGCATCAGTCTCTTATCTTTTGATACTAGCTGTTCAAACAGGTGTGATTTGGCATCTCATAGTGGTTTCGATTTGCATTTCCTCGATGATGGGTGATGTTGAACAACCTTTCATGTATCTGTTGGTCATCTGTATGTCTTCTTTGGAAAAAAGTCTATTTGGGTCTTTTGTCCATTTTCTGCTTGGATTATCACTATTTTTTTAAAAGATTTTATTCATTTATTTGACAGACAGATCACAAGTAGGCAGAGAGGCAGGCAGAGAGAGAGGAGGAAGCAGGCTCCCCGCTGACCAGAGAGCCCGATGCGGGGTTCGATTCCAGGACCCTGAGATTATGACCTGAGCCGAAGGCAGAGACTTTAACCCGCTGAGCCGCCCAGGCGCCACTATATATTTTTTTTTTGCTCCATTTATTTTACCCCTGTATATCTTTACTACTTTATCAACATCTTGCACATTCTAAATAGCAGCTGCTGAATGTACCTAGCATACGTCAGTAAACACAGAAGTCATATTTCCAAGGTTTAACTTGTGCTAACTACAGAGCAGAATAACACTTCTTGCATTTCACCCTGCATATTCTGGTAAGCAAAACTGTGTTCATGAAAATACATGCAAAACTTCAGGTTCTGTCTGAGACCCATGGTGGGTCCAAACCTGAATATGCAGCTCTAGTACTTTGGGATATCACCAAAGGTTCCTTGGGATACCTGTGGACATGAGGTCTCATGCTACATATTCTCACCCCGACTCTGCTCTTATGGAGGGAAGAGAACTGAGATGCCCATGGGAAGGGTCTTAACACTAGAATTAAGGCCAGTAGGGCTTGAGATAAGAGCAGCTCAACTGTGCCATCTGGGGCAGCAGACAGAGGAAAAGAGATGTGAGTATGTGTTAGTTCCTGCCTTGGGCTAGACACTGGCACAGCTGCTTGCATAGTGATCTCTTATTTTCTCATCTGAATATAGGCACCAACACCCCATTGTTCTGATGAGTTAAACACAGTCAGAGCAGGGATGCTTAACCTTCAAGTCCAGGCTCATTAGGAAGGGTGAGGGTAGATCTTCAGAGAAAAGATTGTAGCAAGATGGCCCTGGGCTCTTTCTGGTCTCACAGAAGGCTCTGTGGAGCAGAAGTGCTGGACCCAGAGGTAGTACATCTGTAATATTTGGGAAGAAGAGGTAGTCTGTGGGGCAGGCATTCCCTTAGGCTTGCGAGTGGACAAAGGTTATCAGGATGAGTGGAATAGAACATCCTGAGAGACTAAGGTTGATTACCTGGGTCCTTACATCTCCTAGGGCTGCTCTGACATTACATTTAGGGTCTCCATACAGTGCTTTTATTGTCCTCTGTGGCCAGTAAAGGTACCTATTTCAGATATGGTCTCAACTCTACACTATTGCCATTGCACTATCCCTAGACTGAGCATTTTCAAATATCCCTCCTTCTGTAAGTTTCTGCTGCCATTTTACTGGTTTCATGTCTCTTCAAGTAAAATACCTGGATGCCTTAAGGTGTGACAAACTGACTGTGATAAGCACTCCAAAGAATGGGTATCAGCATCCCATGGCCATTATTCCCCAGACTGTATCTGCCTGTGCTTTGAGTAATGACGAATTAATGCAGTATGATTTCTGCTACCTCTGATTAACTGAGATCATGACCATGATAACCAGGTTGTAGCTAAAGAGTCGTTTTCTTGACTTTCAGGTTTGAATAGCATCTGGCTAGCAGCCTCTGGGATAGCTCCTTGCAATATTTCATTAAAATGCTAATGAACGCATAGGACAAACTGCAAATGCCAAGTAATGCCATGGATAAAGAATAAACACAACCTTGACAGAATAGGGGAGGAATCTGCATTGACTATAAGGTAGGGTCAGTTGAAAAGAGAAACTACTGTGACTTTTGCCTTATGAAACAGAAAAACAGTGAATGACATCAGGTAACAATATTTGTAATATATATGAAAGACAAAAGACAATTCTATTTCCACTATAACAAGCTCTTAAAAATCAATTTTATGGACAGAAAAGCAGGAGAATGAAACTGGGCCACTTTCTTATACCACATACAAAAATAAACTCAAAATGGATGAAAGACCTAAATGTGAGACAGGAAGCCATCAAAATCCTAGACACGAACACAGGCAGCAATCTCTTTGACCTTTGCCACAGCAGCTTCTTGCTAGACTTCTCTCCGAAGGCAAGGGAAACAAAAGTAAAAATTAACTATTGAGACTTCATCAGGATAAAAGCCTTCTGCACAGCAAAGGAAAACAATCAACAAAACTAAAAGACAATCTATGGGATGGGAGAAGATATTTGCAAATGACATATAAGATAAAGGGTTAGTATCCAAGATCTATAAAGAACTTATCAAACTCAACACTCAAAGAACAAATACTCCAACCAAGAAATGGGCAAAAGACATGAACAGACACTTCTGCAAAAAGACATCCAGATGGCCAACCGACACATGAAAAAATGCTCAATATCACTCAGCATCAGGGAAATACAAATCAAAACCACAATGAGATATCACCTCACACCCGTCAGAATGGCTAAAATGAACAACACAGGAAACAACTGATGTTGGCGAGGATGCAGAGAAAGGGGAACCCTCCTACACTGTTGGTGGGAATGCAAATTGGTGTAGCCACTCTGGAAATCAATATGGAGGTTCCTCAAAAAGTTAAAAATAGAACTACCCTACAACCCAGCAATTGCACTACTAAGTGTTTATCCAAATGATTCAAAAATAGTGATTCAAAGGGGTACATGCATCCCCCAATGTTTATAGCAGCAATCGCCAAAATATGGAAAGAGCCCAATTGTCATTTGAAAGATGGTGGATAAAGAAGATTTGGTGTGTATATACAATGGAATATTACTCAGCAATCAAAAAAAAAAAAAGGAAATCTTGTCATATGCAATGACATGGATGGACTAGAGGGTATTATGCTAAGTGACCTAAGTCAGTCAGGGAAAGACAAACAACCATCTGATTTCCCTCATATGTGAACTTTAAGGAAACAAAACATGAATATAGGGAAAGGGAAGGAAAAATAAAATAAGATAAAAACAGAGAGGGAGGTAAACCATAAGATATTCTTAATCATAGGAAACAAACTGTGGGTTGCTGGAGGGGAGGTGGTTGGGAGGATCTGGTAACTTGTTATGGGTGTTAAGGAAGACACATGAAGTAATGAGCACTGGGTGTTATGTACAACTGATGAATCACTGAACTCTACCCCTGAAACTAATAATACATTGTATGTTAACTAAATTGAATTTAAATTTAAAAAAAATTTAAAAATCAATGTTAAAATGTCAAACATACCAATAAGCATGTGCAAACCAAGAGACAATTCACACAAAAACATAAATTAATTCTCTCAGTAAATGTTTGTTGAGTTCCTACTATGTGTCAGACACCATTTGAGGGACTGTGGATCTGGTCTTTCCATGCTAATGTGGAAGATAAATCAGAAATAGGCAAATAATCTGATATGATGTCAGGTAGAGATAAGGGTAAGAAAACAAATAAAGGTGGGGATAGAGATAGGGAGTGAGGATGGTCGGGGGGGTGGTTATGTTTTAGACAGGGAGATTTGTAAATTTGTAAATTTCTATCTGCAGAGGTGACACTGAAGCAGAGGCTGAGTGAAGCTAAGTTGTGAGCCATGCACAGATCTGGTAAAAGATACCACACCACTCCCCAGAAAAGAAGTTGCCAGAGAAAGGGGCAAGTACAAATGGCCTGTGGTAGAGAAGAACTCAGCCTGTTTTAGGAAGAGCTCAGGGGCCAGAGTGACTAAACAGAGAATGGGAGGAAAGTCTTGGGATGCGAGACTAGAAAGGAGGCTAGGGCTGGATCCCAGCAGAGGGTTGGGTTCATCCTAAGGGAGGAGGTAGCTTCTGGGTGACCCTGAGGAGAGAAGTGACATGATCTGAATGAAGCATGAAGAGCCCCCCCAGGGCTGGAGCAGTGAAGGGACTGCAGAGTGAGAGCAGAGAAAGGGGAGCCTGTGGAGTGTTCTAAGGGAGAGACAGAGACAAACCAGATAGCAGGGCAGTGCTGGATGTACTGAGAAGCCATCTGATACATGATTGATTTGGAAAAAAAGTGCTGGCTGGAATCTGGTGGTGTGTTGGAAATGGAAGAGGGCAAGAGGGGCATCCAGGAGAACTCTAAGGTTATTGACCAGAACAACTAGAAGAATGAACTTGTCATTTATGGAGACAGTGAAGACTGTAAGGTTCTGTGATGAGGGCCAGGAGATGCTTATTGTCTATCCAAGGGAATTGGGTAAGGAATTGACTATAATGTCTGGACTTTAGAGAAGTTTGGGATGGAGAAAATTGTTTGGATGTTGTCAGTGCAGAGAGATGGTGTTTACAGATTTGCAGCTGGCTGAGCCCTCCAGGGGACTGAGTGTAGATAGAAGAGCTCTGAGGATGTACCTCAAAGCCCTTGATGCTTAGAGGTCAGGGAGGCAGAAAGGAACCAGAGAAGGCTGGGAGGGTGGCCAATGATGGGGTCAGAGAAGCAGGAGGGAGAGTAGTATCTCCAGGGCCAAATGGAAAAGGTGCTTGAGGAAGGAGAGAGAGATAAACTTTGTCAAATTCTGCTGTTGTGTGGGTGAGGTGGGCCTGATCGTGGACCCTCTGACCTAGCCACGTGGAAAGCATCTGTGACTTTGCTAAAGGTGTATGAGAAGTGTTGAGGAGCCAGAGCAAGAGAGAATGGGGGCCATGGGACTAGAGATACCTTTTGGATGTCTCCAGATGGAGAAAGGAGAGCAAGTATCATTGGTGGGGGTATGGAGTCCAGAGGAGGTTCTAAAAACGAGAGGCACTCTGGTCTGCTCATGTGCTAACTGGGAATTCTCCAGCAGAGAGGGGAGGAATGCAGGAATACAATTCTTGGGGAGGTAAGATGGGGTGAATCTAGTGCATAACTGGAGGGTTTGGCTTTAGATAAGAGTGAAGAAAATCCTCCCACTGAACCTGGAGAGAAGGAAGAGCAAGTGGGAACAGCTGCAGGTAGGTAGATGTGATTAGGGGAACCTGTAGAATTCTTTTCCAGTTCCTTCTATTTCTCAATGAAACAAGATGCTTTGAAATGGGCACTTATCCCTTATCAATAAAAGTGTAAATTAGCCATTTGGTATTGGGCTTCCCAGCTTGGCAGCTAGGCATCCTCTTGTCCCCAAATGTGGCTACCTGGATACACCAGGGCTACCAAGTTGGCACAAATGGGAGTTCCCTGGCTCATTGGAGCATCATACCTGTCAGCAGAAGCCCAAGATACAGGGTGTCCATAAGCCATTGTGGTTTGGATTTGTAATAAATTCACTTCCATGTAAGGTATAAATAATTTGTGAAATACATCCTGAAGCAAATTCACTAGAGATTTAGATAAAGTTCCCTGTGCTTTGTTTTTTCCTTTCTTTCATTTTGTAGGTAACAAGCTCCCCATGACACTGAGATGGCTCTATCCAAGTGTATCCAAAATGATGGTGGATGAAACCAACTGTGCTAAATGAACATGATTCACTCTCTCATTCATTCATTCATTCATTCACTCTGGAATAAATTTTCTCTTCTGTTGCCTTTTGCAGATTGTTTATGTTTTGTCCAGAAGTGAATTTGTTTACACACTCAAATTGCACAAGCACTCTCTCTGGGTGCACTGTTCATCCCTACTTCTCCCTCCAAGACACTCCCCTCCCTCACTCCCAGGGCAAATGTTGCCACTTCCTTGATTTTATTGGAGGTTTTTTCCCCCTAAATTTTTACTGTGGTAAAATATACATTAAATTTACTATCTTAACCATCTTTAAGCATATAGTTCATTCATATTAAATACATTCAATGTTGTGCAACCATCCATTTCCAGAACTCTTTCACCCTGTAAAACTGAAATTCTAATCCTGTGATACGATAATCCCCCATACCCTCTCCCCCCAGACTTTTTATGACTCAAATGGCTTCTTCTGTGTCCCCTTAACCCAAGCACTAAGCAGTATCTTAAAACAACTACTTCTGTGATGATATTATTCACTTTAAAAAACCCCATCTCTTGGGGCGCCTGGGTGGCTCAGTCATTAAGCATCTGCCTTTGACTTGGGTCATGATCCCAGAGTCCTGGGATCAAGCCCTGAGTCAGGCTCCCTGCTCAGCAGGAGTCCTGCTTCTCCCTCTCCCACTCCCCCTGCTTGTGTTCCCTCTCTTTTACTGTGTCTCTCTCTGTCAAATAAATAAATAAAATCATTTTAAAAATCCCATCTCTTTTTTCTTTTCTCTCTCCGAGATAGCAATCTTACCATCTCTTCTGAGGAATGGAAGTCTTTTCTTTTCTCTCTCTCTCTCTCTCTCTCTCACTCTTGAAGTCAGTACAAAATAACTGAAGACTATAACGTCCGGATCCCAAAGCTTGTGAAGGTGGGGTGGTATGTGGGTGCTAGAGTCAGGGAGTGGGTTTCTTAGAGCATTAGTTGGTCGGTGTCATCGTTCTGAAAAGAAATTTTGCAGTAGCTAGCAAAAGCAACAGAAATGCTTCAGTCCACTGATCCAGTCATTCCTCTTAGACAATCAAAGATATGCACAAAGCTTTATGTTCATCACAGTGTTGTGCATAATAGCAAAAACCAGGTGTTGCCCCTGTGTCCATTGGTCAGGGCTAGGTAAAGTCTGTATGCAATCATTAAAAACCATATTTGAGTTTTATACATGGGGAAATGTTTATGCCATAATGTTAAATGAAAAATACAAGATAAACTGTATTATGATCTCAAATCTTTTCTTAAATTTGTATCTGCAGAGAATAACATGGTAGAGAACCACCTCAGTGTTAAACAATATTCAGGGATAATGGAATATTGTGTAATTTTAAATTTTTGTATATTTATTTATTTATTGCATTTTCTATGACTGTACACCTCTTTTATATTCAGAAAAAGACACAAAGAGGGGCACCTGGGTGGCTCAGTGGGTTAAACCGCTGCCTTCGGCTCAGGTCATGATCTCAGGGTCCTGGGATCGAGCCCCGAGTCGGGCTCTCTGCTCAGCAGGGAGCCTGCTTCCTCCTCTCTCTCTGCCTGCCTCTCTGCCTGCTTTGTGATCTCTCTCTGTCAAATAAATAAATAAAATCTAAAAAAAAAAAGATATTTAAAAAAATTTAAAAAAAAAAGAAAAAGACACAAAGAATATAAAACAAATACACTTAAAATGGAACAATCTTACCTAGTACTCAAAGAAAAACAAATTAGGTGAGAGGCAAGATGGCGGAGTAGCAGACTGAAATGACACCAGATCCCAGGAGTTCAGCTAGATAGTTATCAAACCATTCCGAACACCTACAAACTCAACAGGATATAGAAGAGAAGAAGAGCAGCTATTCTAGGAACAGAAAATTGACGAATTTCTGAAAGGTAGGACGTGCGGAGAAGCGAATCCAAAGCGACAGGAAAATAGACTTGGGGGGGGGGCAGCTCCTGGCAAGCGGCAGAGCAGTGGAGCACAAAATCAGAACTTTTAGAAGTCTGCTCCACTGAGGGATGTTGTTCCAGAGGTTAAGCAGGGGTGGATCCCTTGTGGGGACAGTGTGGTCTCAGGTCCCATGGGGTCACAGAAAGATCAGGGGTGTCTGAGTGTGGCAGAGCTGCCAGGTATCAGAGTGGGGAAACCAACTACAGAGACAGAGCCGAAGAGTGAGCTTTCAGCTCGGGGTTACCTTAAACTATGATCCAAGGCACAGTCGGACCACTGCTCTTTGAGCAGGGACCCCACAAGTGGCAGATCTGGGGAAACTCATCTTCCTCCTCCTCCAGGAGGAGCAGTAAGGTAGGAATCTTCTGGGTTTGGAGACTCCAAATGGGGCCATGTACCAGAGATAGAAACAATCATTCATAGGCTGGGTGAGCTTGGAGTGTGGCCAGAGACCAGGGAGGCAGGAGGGATTGACTGCTTTTCTCTGAGGGCACACTGAGGAGTGGGCCCTGAGCTCTCAGCTACTCTGGGCCAGATTGGGAGGCCGCCATTTTCATTCCCATCCTCCAAAGCGGTGGGGAAAGGGTTCAGGGAATGAAAGTTCTGAGAGCAAAACTGAGCAGATTACTTATCCCAGTCCCTAGCAAGGGTGGTGCAATTCTGCCTTGAGCAAAGACTTTTGAGAATCACTACAACAGGCCCCTCCTGCAGAAGATCAGTAAGAACATTCAGCCAAGACCAAGCTTACAGATCAAGGAGAACAGCAGAACTCCAGAGCTAGGGGAAAGCAACACATAGAATTCATGACTTTCTCCCCATGATCTTTTAGTCTTGCAAAGTTAAATATTTTTTTAATTTTATTTTTTTCTTATTCTATTTTTTTTAACTTTTCCTCTTTCCTCTTTTAACATTTTTAAAGTAATTTATTTTAACAACACCTTTCTTTAAAAAAATCTTTTTAAACCTTCATTGTTATAGTCATATTTTAACCCCTTCACTGTATTTAACCTCATTTTTCATAAACATATAGGTTTTTTTTTCTTAAAAAATTTTGGGATACAATTTCTTCTAATAGATGAAAATATACCCTAATCTAGCACATGACTTTGTTCTAGTCTTCAGCTTGAGCACATCCCTTCCTCTTTTTTTTTTTTTAGAATTAAAAAAAAATCATCTTTACAGTCATATTCTATCCCTTCATTGTGTTTATCCTTATTTTTCTATATATATATATGTATTTTTGCATATATTTGTTTTGTGTGTGTGTGTATATATATATATATGTATATATATATATATGGTATATATATAAGTTTTTCTTTCTTTAAAATTTTGGGAGGTAGTTTCTTCTAAGAGACCAAAATACACCCAAAATCAAGTTGGTGGCTCTGTTCTATTCACCAGTCAGATATATATACATATATAAAAAATATATAATATATAATTATATTAATATATTAATATAATTAATATATAAATATAAATATAAAATAATATATAATATACAATTGTATAATATGTATATTATATAATAATACTATAATATTAATAATAAATATGTTATATAAAATTATATATATAATTTTTATTTTTTATTTTTAAATTTTTATTTCTTTTAGTCCCCTTTCTTCTCCCCCCAGTTTTGGATGTCTTCTGATTTGGCTAGTGTACATTTTTCTGGGGTCTTTGTCACACTTTTAGTATTTTATTATCACCTTCATATATTCTTATCTGGATAAAATGACAAGGCAGAAAAATTTACCACAAAAAAAAGGACAAGAGGCAGTACTGATGGCTAGGGATCTAATCAATACAGGCATTAGTAATATGTCAGAACTAGAGTTCAGAACGATGATTCTCAAGGTGCTAGCTGGGCTCGAAAAAGGCATGGAGGATACTAGAGAAACACTTTCTGGAGAAATAAAATCCCTTTCTGGAGAAATAAAAGAACTCAAATCTAACCAAGTTGAAATTTAAAAAAGCTATTAATGAGGTGTAATAAAAAATGGAAGCTCTTACTGCTAGGATAAATGAGGCAGAAGAGAGAATTGGTAATATAGAAGACCAAATGATGGAGAATAAAGAAGCTGAGCAAAAGAGAGACAACTACTGGACCATGAGGGGAGAATTCGAGAGATAGGTGATACCATAAGATGAAACAATATTAGAATAATTGGGATTCCAGAAGAAGAAGAAAGGGGGGGGCACAAGGTATATTGGAGCAAATTATAGTAGAGAATTTCCCTAATATGGCAAAGGGAACAAGCATCAAAATCCAGGAGCCAGAGAGAACCCCCCTCAAAATCAATAAAAATAGGTCCACAGCCTTATGTCCCATCATCTAATAGTAAAACTTACAAGTCCTAATGACAAAGAGAAAATCCTGAAAGCAGCGTGGGACTAGAATTCTGTAACATACAATGGTAGAAATATTAGATTGGCCCCAGACTTATCCACAGAGACCTGGCAGGCCAGAAGGAACTGGCATGATATATTCAGAGCACTAAATGAGAAAAATATACAGCCAAGAATACTATATCCAGATAGGCTATCATTGAAAATAGAAGGAGAGGTAAAAAGCTTCCAGGACAAACAAAAACTAAAGAATTTGCAAACACCAAACCAGCCCTACAGGAAATATTGAAAGAGTCCTCTAAGCAAAGACAGAGCCTAAAAGTAGTAGACCAGAAAGGAACAGAGACAATATACAGTAACAGTCACCTTACAGGCAATACACTGGCACTAAATTCATATCTTTCAATAGTTACCCTGAATGTAAATGGGCTAAATGTCCCAATCAAAAGACATAGGGTATCAGAATGGATAAAAAACCAAAACCCATCAATACGCTGTCTACAAGAAACTCATTTTAGACCCAAAGACACCTCCAGATTTAAAATGAGGGGGTGGAAAACAATTTACCATGCTAATGGACATCAAAAGAAAGCTGGGGTGGCAATCCTTAGATCAATTAGATTTTAAGCCAAAGACTATAATAAGAGATGAGGAAGGACACTGT